GGTTTGAATCCACCAGATGCTTTGCTGGAGAAGGAGGGGCAATCTCCTCTTGTACCAGTCAGATCCGATTTTACAGTACGCACACAAAATAATAAAAAGCCACCAACTTACTAATAGGATAGGGGGGAAAAGTATATTTACCCAAAAAAGTAAGTGAATTAAAAAAAAAAAAGTCTTATTTACAAAACTATTTTTAAAAGGTGCTTGCTATTCTTAATGTTAAAAAAAAAATTCACATGGTCCTAGTTACCTCGGTAAAGTTTTAGGTGATTGGTCAAACTACACGTTTAAAACTATAAAACTAGCTGGGGAAGGGGCGGCTGGCGCCATGTCTGGACACGAAGGTGGTAAGAAGAAGCCCCTGAAACAGCCCAAGGAGCAGACCAAGGAGATGGAAGAGGAAGAGAAGGCTTTCAAGCAGAAACAAAAAGAACAGAAGAAACTTGAGGAACTAAAAGCGAAGGCCGCGGGCAAAGATCACCTGGCCACGGGTGGAATTAAGAAATCTGGCAAAAAATAAGACTGAGGCAATGATGAACCTTACTTCTGTTCTTTTTTAAAACATCTGGATTCTCTGCTGTAACATCTTTTACCATCTGTAGTTAAAATGAAGTGTTGTCTTGGAGCCTGTTGTATATTTAAGAGGAAACTTTGTGAAACAGTGAAGAAGAAACCTTACGATGGTCCATCTCCAGTTCTCATTCAGCCATTCCGATCTTAGCTGTGCAAAGTAAATCCGGAATCCTGTCAGAATCTTCATTCTTCATTATGCCCAGAATTCTGTACCACCTGGAATTAAACCAACTCATTTGAGGAGAAAAAAAACCCAAACTTTTTAACTAGTAATTAATTACTTGAAAGAGACATAAAATACATAAGTTCATGTAATATATATTTCATTTACTTTTTGTATTTTCAGCACCTTTTCTAATGTCCTCCTTTTTTTGAGATTTGCATTCATCATTGCTGTAAGGCCAAGTGATGCCAAAAATTGTAGAGCAAATGCTTACTCCTTTCATCATCACCATGAATATGCAATTTTGTTGTTTTTAATGGCTGAGTTTGTGTTGAGAAGTTTGTGGTTAGATTTGGATTTTTTATCAGTGTTTGACCATTTATTTTCCTATCAACCTTCACCTGTCTTAAGGAAAGCATTCAGCATTGTGAAGTAGTATTTTTAAAAGATTTTCTGTCCTTATTATTTTCCCATTTTTTTTCTCTAAAGTTGGTTTGCTGCAAGTTATAATTTATACCTTGGACATCAGAATATTTATGATGCTTGATTATTTGTATTAGCAAACTTGATTACTGCTTTGAAGAACAGAGTACAGTCCTTGAGCATCTTTGTGTCTCATTTGTGAAGCTAATTATTCATCAGCACCACCTTAGCAATTGAAGTTGTAAACTCCCAGTATTTAGCATGATTGTTATATGCTTTTAGTATTTCTGCTTTTGTTAGAGGAAAAGTCTGGCCATTTAAACATTTATGATGGTGAGATTTGCAAGATAAGCAATATATTTTAAATTAAATGATATATAAAATTATACAATTCTATTTATAAATATATAAAATTAAAGGACCATACACTCCTTCAATAGTACGTAGCATATAGTCAGTTCTTGGAAAAAGACATCAAATTGGGAAAGATGGAGGGTCAGAGAAAAGGAAGACGGCCCTCAACAAGATGGATTGATACACTCACTGGACCAGTGGGCTTGACAATATCAGAGATTGTGAAAATGGTGCAAGATCGGGCAGAGTTTGGATCTTTTGTTCATAAAGTCATTGAAAGTTTGGTCAGCTTTGTGGCACCCGACAACAACATCTGGTCTGAGTGATAATAGTTTTTAAATGGGCCAAGTTGATTTAATTTTTTAAATTGTAGTGACTTCTTTGTTACTTGTAAATGAACTGTTACTTTATAATTATAGTAATTAAAAGACAATAATATTCATTACTAACTCCTGGGTAATTGCTTATACCGCACCATCAAAAAAAATAATTACTGTTATTTGGGAAATCCTTTTCAGTGAGTAAATACATAGAAAATACACTCATCATTTACAAATCTGTCACTTCATTCTAGTATTAATTTATTCAGATATACTATTTACAAAGATAGCCATGATAAAGCAGTAAATGAAAATTGTGTTTCATTACTTTCTAAAGTGTGTCACTCTAATAAGTTTGAATTGGATTTTTATTTCATAGACTTAACCTGTACCTTTGTCTTTGTTTCTATCAGGCAACTTTAGCGAGTATAGATGCTGAACTTCAAAAACTGAAGGAAATGACCAACCACCAGAAGAAACGAGCCACTGAGATGATGGCCTCTTTACTAAAAGACCTTGCAGAAATAGGAATTGCTGTGGGAAATAATGATGTCAAGGTAACTAGAATATATGAGGTTTGAGTATAATTGTACACAACTCATACTTTACACCAGCCATGTGTAGTAAGCGTTATTAATTATTTTAAATATCTAAGTAACATTTATTAGGCTTCATGTCTGAGTTTTTACTACATAAAGATGTTATGGTTAAAATTATGTTAATACACATGAAAGTGTGTCATTGACGTGAAAATAAACTCAGAGTAAATAAATCATAAATGAATAAAGAGCTAAGATGAGCGTTACTCTACCAACTAATTTCTAGTGAAAATTTTAGTGTGAAAAATTTCAAACTTCAGTAGTAGAGCAAATAATAGAATTAATTCCATCCAGAGTGCTCAGTTATAAAACTTTTGCCATATGTTTATCTGTGCACTTCTCTTTTCTGATGATCTTTTCTGAGATAAATGGATATGTTTATTAGTAACTCATACTCGGGTTGGACAATGGAAGATATTTTCTGAAGGGACTTGGTAGATGAGAAGGTTTATCCTGGTGGAGGGTGGAGCTGGGAAGTAAGTGGGTAATGGCACTGGGCTAAGGGTGGGGTCAACACTTTAACTAA